TAGTAGTAGTAGTAGTAGTAGTAGTAGTAGGAGTAGGAGTAGCAGTAGCAGTAGCAGTAGTAGTAGTAGTAGTAGTAGTAGTTTTTGTTTTTGTTTTTGTTTTTGTAGTAGTAGTAGTAGTAGTAGTTGTTGTTGTTGTTGTTGTTGTTGTTGTGGACACACTTCACGGTCCACAAAGTACTGCACCTGCCACGAATTCTGCACTTCAAGGTCAGCACAGTACTGCGCCTGCCACGGGATCTGCACTTCAAGGTCCACAAAGTACTGCGCCTGCCACGAATTCTGCACTTCAAGGCCTACAAAGTATTGCGCATCCACTGACCTTATTTGGGCCCCCCCCGATTTCAGGGACCCCCTATTTTAAAAATGCGACCGAGGTTTTCTTATTAGGGGGGGCCTCCGTGTCTTTTAATAAGTGGACCGGATTATTTTCCACGATTCTTTTTGGACTCAATTGGTAATTTCTTTTGCGCAAAACGGCGCTGTCATTGAACCCCCATGCCGCTTGCAAACAGGCGTGGGGCAACCAAGCTCTTTACTGACGCGATCGTTGGCTGCAGTGCGTTTTGTGCTTGTGGGGCAGTTCCCTTGTGCTTCGCAAGGTTAGTGCTACTGGTCCATGCCAAGCTCGCCACCAACACTCAGACTCAAGCTGTGGCGGCGTTCCATTTGGTGTGACGGAACAACGCCGGATGAATGAACACATCCACTGGCGAAGGTGAAGACACTCGCGTCTGCTTGTTAGCACAAACCGGAAGACAAACCTACACGCGAGACCAAGCAGTTCAACAAAACAAAATGCACCTAGACTTAGGACATCAAGGCGGGAATTGCTTCTCAAGGTAGTGCCTTCAGTCATATTTCAATAAAGAGTCTGAACGCAATCCATTCGTCCCGCTGTCGTCGCTTGGCCGAGGAATGCTGTGTGGCTTCGCCAAACAGGCGGAGCTTCATAGATCTGTGTGGGCAAAAGGGCAGCAGGAAACTATTTGGGGATTGTACCAGTCAATGTTTTTGATTGTTTTTTCTTTCACTGCGGGCCATATGTGCGGGCAGTGAACCAAAACGTGACAAAGTTTGCAACAAAGCTGATGCCGCAAAAGCACGGGGGAATCACATCGTGCCACTTAAGCAAGTGAAAGATCCGCAACATGAAAACCAACAAAAGACTAAACAGTAGCGACTCCAACAGAACATGGCAAACAGGATGGCTAGATATGGTGCAAAAGAGGTTCTAGTCAGAACATGTAATGCGCCATACGGTGTTCTGTGCCCAGCCAACCCGCACTGACAGCAAACAGGTACGAGTGGCGCAGGGACGACCGACGCACGCGGGTTTACGTCATAGTGCGTGTGACGTGAACAGATGGGCTGAAAGGGGCGAACGCGGTGACGGTACAACTATTATTTTTTGCATATGTTCATGCAATTTTTTTTTGCATATGTTCATGCAAAGTCATTTCATTCGCTGCGCAACGCACACCGAAACAACCCAAAACTAACCAAAAACATTGCACATGAGAAAGGGGTTGGCAAAGCTCGGCTTTGCAGAATTATCTGTGCATGCCATACCCAGTCTTGCTTGTTTTCGTTGCAACAAACCAATGCCAAACTCAACCAAGCTTCGTTGAGAACGGCAAAGCAGCAAAATGCGACGTAGAATGTGAAACCGAGCACCCATTCGACGCCAATATGTTCCAGGGAATACGCTGGCCCTTCCCAAGTAACACCGCCGGAGATGGACCGAAAGAGCGTGTTCATGGAAGTGACCAAGGAGCCAAAGTGTTTCACCAAACCATCGCGGGTCCCCCTTGCTCCGTCCACGCGCATGTGATACACAACTCAGAGACCTACCCTAAAAACAACGCAATTCGCATTTTTTTGCTGGTCTTCAAGAACTTGGCAGGTCGCCCCCCCCCCGCCAGGCGAGATTGGATTCGGCATCGCGTTATTAACATGAGGGCCCTTGGTCACACTCACCTACTATCCCTCCTTTCTTGAGCAGGTCGTTCACGCATCACACACACTTTTCTTCGGAAGGCCAACCGCCATGAACAAGCTCCACGTGCCCATGGCCCATGTCTGTCTTTGCATGCTTTCTCAAAAATTCTGGGCTCGCAGACCTCCTTTTCTGGTCCGGTCCTAGGGTAGGCGTCCTTGCGCAAAATTTCGGGGGGGCAACATCGACATCTCATTATTTATCCACTCAGGGAACTGCGCGTCAACTTGTTTACGGCCACTGTGCATAAGCCCCGGCCCTCCGCAACGCTGTCTCAATCAAGCGCTTGCAATGATTGCTAGAGGGGTCATCCGATAAGTTTGACCGAGACGGAGCTCTGGCAGTTTGCAAGGACCAACTGCGGCGCATAACGTAAGGGTGCGAAGTTTTGAGCAGCTCGTTGTGATGGACATCGGGACAGAGTTGAGGGGAGGTTGCGTCCTCTTCACCTATGTAGATAAAATCAGGCAAGAACACGGGCCCCTTCACACCTCGCGCTGTAGCACCTGCGTTGCCGACACTGCAGCAAGAAACTTAGTTATGAGTTGTTATGATCTTTGGTCTTGGCGTATGACCTTTGGCGCTCGGTGCTGCCATGGCAACATGTTCTTGTTCGGCGCTGGCTCTCTGAGGAATGAAGAAACAAGGTTTACATGGACAGGGCAATGGGAGTTAGGTTACATATTGAACTTGACAGACTTGACAACTGGTCTTCCTTGGCGCTGCCACTTTCAATATAGTAAGCAACCGTACCCCGCCAACCATCGCAATCATTGTTCTCCAGCGAGGAGTGAGTACAATTCATTCCAATTCTTCCTACGGTTCATGCCGGGCGTCGAATCAAGGTCCAAGATTAACGCCCTGCCAAGTGGATGCTTTCCGCAAACTGGACTTTGGTGCTCTGGGGTGGAAGCAACCCCATTGGAGAACGCCGACGATGACCTTGGCTACTATCTGAACAATTTCCCGGAGAGCAAGTCTCACACAAGGGTTTTTTGGCAAGGTTTGTATACGGGTGGGTCTGATTTGTTTCTTGGCAAGAAACTTTCGACTTTCCACCCTAGCAAAGCCAAGGTCCCCTGGAACCTGCTGAGGCACCTGACGCTGAGGGAAGCCATCGTAATAGTTATGCTAGACCGAAAAGATGTCGACCGACTCTATGCAAGGCAACTTGATTTAACTCTTAAACGGAAGCGGCCCAACCCCTCACGTCGCCGGCGTGCCCTGCGGAGGTCCACTAGCTGCTGGATCTCAATTTCTCGGTTTGGGCATCAGCTCTAGCGAACGGCCAAACTTTCTGATTGCGCTCTGGGATTCCAGAAACTCACAAGTTCTGGTGAAGGCTTTGAATGAATCACGTCACGAACTGGAGCGAAAGTGCGCTCGCAGTCTACGCTCACATCAACGATCCTTCTGGTATTGGCCTTGGACAATCTTGTTGAAATCAGAAAAACCACTTTCGGCCATAGATGCAACTGAGACAGAACTAGAACCCGCCCTCTGCACTCTGCACGAACGAGTGCATTTCGAGGGGAAAGGACATTTGATCCTGCCAGGCTATAGGCAAGCAAGTCTACGGAACGCTGAACCTTGCGAGCCTGAGCATGCTGCCTCGTGCTTCAGGCAATGGTAAGAATTGCTGGCTTGGGTGCAACTTTTGTATGCAAGGCTAAAGTTGAATCCTGAACTGTGAAGAGTTGCATCCCAGTAGTGGTCCCGTTGGGCCCCAGGGCTCTATCCACTTTAAGGAACCTTTGCTGGTCGAGTCTACTGCAAAATGCTCAAAAGCACACGGCCTGCGGGCATCTTTTCCCTGTCCCCGTTGCCAAGTTCACGAGCATCACTGAGACCATCTTAAGAAGACCACGAAGTTTGAGCGGACCGATCCAAGGCACGGTCACAAGTTAAGATTCTCGTCTTCAGGGTGGAGTCAGTCCCCAAACCGTTCTTCACCACATAAACGTGACCCCTTGGTCACACCAACCCCTCCCTCTCTTTCTTGAGCAGGTCCTTCAATCATGAAATTCACTTCGCACACTTCAGAAAACAAATCGCCATGAACGAGTTCAACTCTTCTCTGGTACTTCAATCACTGAGGCCATCATCGAATCACCGCCCAAAACATACGAAAACGTCTTGTTGAGTTCAGCAAAGTTGCGGAGGCATGGAGTCTGCATGCTCCAGTATGTGGTCGATGGTGGCATCCGCAAAAAGTATACCGAACGAGTAAATGATCACGAAGAGGAGCACCAGCGACCAAACTAAGGAGCGCAAGGTGTTCAGGATGGAGAACACCAAGACCCGCATGGCGCGGATGAAGCGAAGCACCTTGGGCGAGGACGCTCTCTCTCCCACCTTTTTTTGGCCCGCCTGCCGGCCGGCTGGCTAAAAAATAGCGGGCCGCGCTAAGCTCGCAATGCAATTCATAGTTTTATGGAGTGTTAGTGGCTAAATGCCGGAGGGCCGGAGGGAGCTGACCAAAGTATAGATTTGGGTCTGATGTGCCTTGGGCACACCACTGGGCTGCAGCACTTTGAAGGAGAGTGATATAGATTAATAGATTAGCTCTGCCTCGGTTACTGTTAGGCTGCTGGTTTCACATCCGTTGGCGTTTTCTGGGGTTTTTGTGTGGTAGCTCTCATAGCGCCCTTTCTCCTCCCAGCCTTCACAACTCGAATAGCACGTGCCAAGCGCGCTATCTTCATGATGCGAAGCAGCCGGAAACCACTGTTGGAGCCACCCGTCAAGCTAGCTTCGAGCCCGGCGACAGTGGAGGCCACGTCCAAAACGGCCGAGGTGGAGACGAAAATGTCTAATAAATGCCAGGCCCAATCCGAAGAACAAATGTAGCCTGGCCCCACAGAGCCAAACACATCAACTTTAATTCCAAATCTTTACCCCGCTTCTGAAATGGGACCTGTTTAAAATTGAATCCAAACGGTTCTTTTTCTTCCGGTTTCATCCAAGAATTTTTGCGGCCTCGAATTCCAGAAGTAAAGATCCGGAGAATGATCTCTAGGATGAACAGCACAGCATAGACCAGCTGAAGTGCTGTAAAGGCTGTGGGTACGGCTGCATGTAAGTTTTGTGATGTCCACTCGGTTTGAACGCCCAAGAAAATAGCGTTACTTACAAGAACAGCCGCAAAAAAAGGCCTCAAACTTCCAGGACTGCTGCAATCTGCGTTTCTGTTCTGGGGGATCTTCGTCCTGTATGATATGAGTGACCACTTCTTGATGGTTCTGAACCATTTCCGAGACCCTTCGGCGGTACTTGGTGCCTTGCTCCTTGGCAACCTCGTAAGATCCAGCTCGCGATACGACTTCACTGGAAGTTTCACTCGATTGGCTCATGTCTGGCGAAGATTCCAAAGCAATCCTCGGTCAGCAATCAGCTTGGACACTTGGAATCGGTGATAATGTCTTGCATCCATCACAATGAACCGGGTAGTCCTGCAATGTAGGGCCACAATCTATGGTGTTGAGGAATGTCTAGCTTCAATGAATGGGTGCAAATAGAAACATCATGGCGTCGTTTGTCCATGTTTGTCCACCGTGTTTTCGGGCTGTAGGAGCGCATCACGGATCTCTTACACGATACTAAAGGTGTCAACTCCGAAGGCAGCCCTGCAACAGAAATCAGACGTGCTGCTGAACTACGTGCAGGTGTTGGCGAGACAACATAACCAAAGAAACATCAGTACTCAAGCAATCAAGTGCACACGGCCAAACACAAATCCTCGGACTAACCAGCGAACGTAACTGACCGTGTCTTTCATAAGTCACAGGGGTGCCACCCAAAGCCCTCAAAAAAAAGCACTAAAGAAGTCATGCATGACACATACTCTTTGATGGATATTGATTCACTGCATATTCGATGCCCAGTCTCTCATGATTGGGTGTCTGACTCACTTCCCGTACGAAATGCGAAGAGGTTGTAGCTACAGCCTTCACAGCTTTCTCGACCAGCCTGAGACTCCAAACCGCAAAGATTTGCATCTCGACAGAATGAAGTACAGCACCAACTTCTTGGAACACCGAGCCCAATGAGTTGTCATGTCAACTGACTGGACAATTGTAAATAATGCTCCGTAATGACACCAAGATACTGCTGATGATTGAGAAGAACTTCAAAGCGGGAAAGGATCTCTGCGTGTCTTTCTTCAAGCAGCGCCTCTAAGGCCTTCCATTCCGAAGTTTCTACCTTGCATCGCTTGCGGGTCCACTTGCAACTCCAATCTAAGTGGCTGAGTGCCAGGCGCAACCCATAGCTATTCCACGGCTCGTCAAGACTCACTTTTGAGGACTTTGAGCCGGTGCGGCATGGTTCGTACTCAAAACCCAAGCAAACCATTCATATTCTATGAAACCTCTGCAGTGTCTCAAGTCGGTCTGAAGCAGTTCAAAAAGGAAACATGTGTGGCAAATTGGCTCGAAAGCATCTCAAGCCTGAACGGTGCTCAAAAGATCTGCATCACCTCGGTTTGTCAGAATGACTTGCGAATGGCAACCAGGCTACCGGTGCAAACACCACATCACTGAAGTTTGAGACAATGATTTAAATAACCTTAACCGGCCAGCGTTTTGGCCAGCGTTTGTGGTGAAACTGGCCAGCTTATGTGTGCTGCCATGCCGGAAAAATGAGCGTGATCTATGCCAGACTGCCTCCGAGCAGCTACTTGTAGAGCAGTCCCAGAATGAGCTCCAAATTCTCTTGCACCACTTTCATGTGCACAGAATGCATCAGCAAAATGCATCAAGATTGATGTCTGGAGATGGTTCCCGAGCAGAAGGTGTCGCTCCTTCCATCTAGGCTCTGCACAGTCTGATGAACAACACCTTCATGACATTGGTAGAGGAAAGCAACTCTGACATGGCAAAACAGCAAAATCAATCAGGTTTGGTCTCTTACATATCTGTAGTACTTGATTTTCCTGCGTGCCACGTGTTTCTTCATGATGGGCTCCTGATGCATCATGTTTCAGAAGGGCCAGCCAACGAACCATTGCTTCCGACTCCCACATGTCTTGACTACTCTCTCTACTATGTGCTGGTTTCACACTTGCTCCGTTTTCGTTCTAGTCACAGAGTGACGCACCCACACAATAGGATGCAGTTCTAAAGCTTGGCTGGCTCAACCATAGGTGTTGGGTAACCGTTAGACGAAGATAGAAGAAGCAATCCCGGGCTTGAGAAGTCAAGAAGTGATGACACGTGACATGAAAATGAAATGCAAATGCTCTAGAGACTCTACCTGGCACATCTTCCTCTCCTTAGGGCAGAATTCGATGCGCCTTGGGAGACTGCAAGGCCTCTGGAGTCTCCGCTTCCGGCTCTTCATGCTTCATCCATTGCTTGCTTGGATACCTTGTCAGTTCGTTTGTAAGGAATCTGAAGCAATATCCATTCAACATCTCGAGGGGCCTGCAGTCCTGGGAAAGTAGCATGATGTAGAATACTAATGTCACTAATGTCTACCCACATCGATGCGGCTCACCAGGGCTGGTTCTGCAAGTCATCCAAGGGATAGACAGGCCTGGCCGCAACAGGCTGCAATGATTGTTGCTGTGTTGCAGTTTGAAGCTAAAATGAAAGTCTTGTCAGCATGGCTCCATAAGCAAACCGTTGGGCTGTGGGTAGAATGTCCTGCGCTGCGGCACTCTTGATGGGTTCACATGGCAAAGCTACGCAACACAAACCTCACCAAGGACTCTGGGACGGTGCGATTTCTTTAGTAACAAGTGCCACGCTACTAGGAACAAGTGCCTTACTAGTAGT